CAGGGGTGACCGGAGAACACAGGGGCACAGCCTCGGGGGCAGAGGACTTGGTTTTGGTGCCTGTACAAGAGTCTGTGTGCAAATGTGTTTGGAGGTGGAGGGCAGTATAAAAGAGGGCCTGAGGGAAGAGCAGAAACAAGCCCCGTGTAATGAACTCTGCCAGACACGGCCCCAGCTAGACAACCTCCACGGTTCCTTCCAATTCTAAAACCCCAGTAAATGCCCTGGGTGGAAATGGAGGGACAGAATAGACAGTGTCTGGACGTACGGGCTGAGTTCCTGGGGTGAAGCTTGGTGTTGGTAAGAGACAGGGTCAGTGCCTAGCCTGGTGCTGGAGGTGCGCCTTTTGGGCCAGAGAGGGGAGGGCTTACGGGGGAGGGGGAGAGAGAGGCTAGAAGAAAACCTGTATCCACATGAGTGTGGACACGTTTCCCATCTGGTCAGAGTAATGGGCGGGGGCAGATGTGGAGGCTCGTGTTCCCTAAATCTTACACCAGGCAGAGCAGCAGCTGGTGACATCCAGCCTACTAGGTCTGAATCCTCTTTTGGGTGGCTGATGAGGAGGGGTAGTTTAGAGAAGTGACCTGCCGGATGAGCAGGGGGGCTGGGGGCTCTAGCTGGGGTCAGCACTGCACAGAGGCGAGATCTAGAGGAAGGTCCTGGCCTGGTGACACAGATGCAAACACATCTAGCAAGGAAGCTTTCTCTGTCACATTGGAAGGGGCACATGGCCTTTGTGTCCGGGTAACGAGGGGAGCTTAGAGCCATTTCCCTGACCGCCGGCACGGTTCCTAACACGTGGTGGGCCCTCAATCGGTATTGCTTCAGACCAAGCCTGCACATGAGCTCCTCTTCGGGAAGGCTATGTATTTGTTGAATGAGCAAATGAGTGAATGAATGAATGATGAATGAGGGCAGAAGCCAAGAGAGAAGAATGTCCACAGCAGGATGGCATGAGTGATTTCGGGAAGGGACAGAGTCTAAGGTGACGACGTGAAATGTCCTCGGGAGAAACAGCGACAGTGAGACACCCTGGCCGCCCTCCACCTCCCAGCAGCCTCCACACACTCAATCCCTGTCCCTAATCATGGAACCCAACCTGGCAAGCTCTGGAAAAGGTGGTGTTGAGAGACAATTAGACACAAAGAGTAAACAGAGATGAACAATCGGTCCTCTGGGCCCAGGGATGATGTAGATCCTGGGAGACCTATTGGTGGACATGGGTCGATGGAAAGACCAGGCCCCTACTCATATCTTCCCGGATGTGACAATCAATTGGAAAAAGATCACAGGGAGGGGTTGGTGGTGTTTATCAGACAGTTGGGTGAGGGGCGTGTGTACAATTTGAACGGTCAGTCTACCTCACTCTTTTTGGGACGGAGGGAGAAGAGGGCTAGGATCACATGCGGCCAGGAGCAGCTATCTCCTCACTAGTGCTCTGAAGTTGGTCCGTTTACAGAAGAAAATGTGTGTGTGTTTTGGGAGAATGGGGGGAAATGGTATTTATCTCTCTGTTCAATCAAAAAGAAAAAAAAAGAAGGAAAAGAAAAAAACCCCAAAACCAGCGCCTACTCACAAAGGGTTTCTCATTAGGGCCATGGCCGCATTTGCTAAAGCTAAACCAGATGCCCGCAGATCCCAGACGGAAACCCCTGCCCTGATCCGCATCGCCTGGAGGCACCCACCAGGAAATTGCACTTGGTGATTGTCTCGAAAATCTACTTGTACTGCTCATCTCAGTCCGTCTGTCCTGCCTGAATTCTTGCTATACAAACTTGGCTCAATGTATAAAAATTCCCATTGAAAATAATGAGAATTCGGTATCAAAGTGAAGTCCCTAGAAAGAGGTGGGAGTGTGGAGTGGGGGTGGGGGAAGGGGAACAAAAGAAAAAAATTCAAACAGAAAGTGCAGGAGGGGTGGGGGAGAAGGCTGAATGACCAGGCTAGTCCCCGACATCCGTGTCTCGGTCCCCAATGAGCCAGAGGACATGGAAGCTGAGTGCTAGGAGCCCAGTGCCAAGCAGGTCCCCCAGAGCTGTCAAGTATGGGATGGAGAAGTTGTCTGGGTCCAGGCCCCGGCCCCACATCCAGTGCACCATCCAGTCTGCGATGTACAGGAGAATCAGCACCTGGGGAAACACAAGGGCCCGGCCTATAGCCATCCCCTCTCTCCAGGGGGAGCCAGAGGCCACACGATGGAAGGCATTCACCGCCACACAAGGCTCTGCTATCCACAGTGGTACAGCTCATCTATCTACCCCAGCAACCCCTTTATGTTCCTCTACCCCACAGTCACCACTTGGAGAAGACAATCGGCATCACATGAGCTCTTTGGGGTCCCCAGGACCCCACACATCAGCATCATATTCCACTCCTAAATTTACCAAACAAGGGACTTCCTAATTGAAATCCTACTTATTGCAGTGATTCAGCGCTCTTGCCTCTAATTCTGGGTCATCCTATACTCGGGTCCCTCCAGTGCCCGGCACGTGGGCTTCTCCGGGAGCCTGGCAAGGGGCTGGGGACTGAAGCTGCCTTTCCACACAGGGGCTTTTCCATGGAGCAGAGCGGAATAAGGACAGCATTTGAGGCTGCTGCCAACACACTTGTACAGGTGTCTAAATTGCAGTCGATTATCCCAAGCTAGCTTTCTCCTGACCCTTTGCGTTCTGCTGCCGTGGGCTCCTGCAGAGCCGGTCTAGCTTAACATTAGCCCTAGCAAAATAGAATGATGAGTCCGTCAGCTGGATGTAAAGCAGAGCGCACATCAATTCAAAAACCCATTTTGGATCATCTGCTGCTTTGATTTATCTCTTTGCTTCCCTCCCACTTCTACAGATCAAGAATGATCTAGATTAGAACTCTGCTAGTGGGCCCTGGACCAGTAGCATCAACAACAGCTGGGAGCTTGTTACAGACGCAGAATCCCAGGTCCCGCTCTTGATCTCCTAAATTGGAATCTGCATTTTAATAAGATTCACATACACTTTTAAGTTGGCAAAGTGCTTAATCTAGAACACTAGGGAAGAGTGACTCAGGCCTGTGTCTTCTAGATCCTCAGCACCATCACTGACATTTGGGTTCCTTAAATGCCCACCTCTGCGTGCAAATGAAGTGCTTTCTACCCGTAAATCTCCAACACAGTCATCTGGGAGGTTTTGCTCTTAACCGTATTTTGCAAAAACTGGTATGTAAATTCTGTCCTAAGGGGCTCAGTTGCAGGAACTGGAGGCCCTTGGGGGATCCTAAAGCCAGAACCAATACCTAATTTTAGGCAAACTTGGTTGTTTCTCGAGGGCAGCCAGAAGTTACGGTTCCAGCACCCTGCACGTTCCCCCTTGCCTTGCACGCAACAATCTTGTACTCCTATGGCCTGCCCCTGGCCCTGGGTGGGGGCCAGCCCCCCCCGCCCCCAACTTCGCCCCCTACCCAGCAGCTGCAGAAGAGTCCCAAGTAAAGAGTGTGGCCAGGAGGGCTTCAGGACATGCTTCAGGAAGGGCATGGCAGCAGCCGACCCCTCATTCCGGCCTCCTGAGCCAGCTCGGTGACACATGGCCAAGAGGAGGGAGCAAAGTACACAGGAAGAACCTTTAGAGGGGGCTGAGTGTGCAGCTCTGGCTCCCCACAGGCCTAGAGAAGACAGCAGGGGTGCGGGTGCCTCCAGCCGGCCCCAAATGGGTAATAGAGCCCAGGTTTATCCTTCCCGATGGAGGCTGAGGGCTACCCTCCAGCCACAGACCCACGGCGTGCCCACTCCTGCTTTCCCAGCGGCCACTGGGCCAACTTGCAGGGAAACGTGGCACCTGGGAAACTGCCGCGGGGCAAGAACTATGGTTGATTCTCAGCCCAGCCCTTGGGAAGATGCCCAAGCACGCAGCCCTTTCAACGTTTGGAGTGAGGGGCTGGAGGGATAAGAGGTTACCAAGAGTGGACTGGTTAAATGAAATTATGTACATCTATATGACAGGAGAATGCAGCCATCAAAGAACTAGGGTGCTCTTCTTGCTATGTGCTGATGTGGACTGATCTCTAGGATAAACTGTTATGTGAAAAAACAGGTGTGGACAGGGTGGAGAGTGTGCTAAGTTTGTGTAAAAAAAAAAATAAAGGGAGGGAAATAAGAAAAATTATGTTGGTTTGTATAAATACATAATAAGCTTGAAGGATATACAAGAAACGGATGACGCGGATGGCCAGGAGGAAGAGACTGGGTGGCAGAGAGAGGGCAGAGAGGAAGAGCTTTCACTATTAACCGTTAAAATGTTTAAGCTTTGGGGCGCCTGGGTGGCTTAGTCGGTTAAGCGTCCGACTTTCGCTTAGGTCATGATCTCGCGGTTCGTGGGTTTGAGCCTCGCGTCGGGCTGTGTGCTGACTGCCAGCTCAGAGCCTAGAGCCTGTTTCAGATTCTGTGCCTCCCTCTCTCTCTGACCCTCCCCTGCTCACGCTGTTTCTCTCTCCTAGAAATAAATAAAACATAAAAAAAATTAAAAAAAAAATGTTTAAGCTTTGGGGCATCTGGGTGGCTTAGCTGGTTAAGCGCCTGACTTTGGCTCAGGTCATGGTCTCACGGTTTGTGAGTTTGAGCCCCATGTCCGGCTCTGTGCTGACAGCTCAGAGCCTGGAGCCTGCTTTGGATTCTCTGTCTCCCTCTCTGTTCCTCTCTTGCTTGCTCTCTCTCTCTCTCTCTCTCTTTCAAAAATAAAGATGAAAAACAATTAAAAAAAAAAGGAGTCATTGCCTTTAAAAAAAATTTTTTTTTACCGTTTAAACTTTATGGGGCACCTGGGTAGCTCAGCCTGTTAAGTGTTGGACTTTGGCTCAGGTTATGGTCTAATGGTTTGTGAGTTTGAGCCCCGCATCGGGCTCTGTGCTGACAGCTCGGAGCCTGGAGCCTGATTCGAATTGTGTCTCCCTCTCTCTCTACCCCTCCCCTGCTCATGTTCTGTCTCTCTCTCAAAAATAAACAAACATTAAAAAAATTTTTTTAATTAAAATATTTAAGTTTTGTGCGGTGGCAGTATCGTAGCTAATGAAGTTCATCTGAGGCGCGATTACTGCTAATTAAAATGTTTTGAACTATGTGGCTGTTATTACCAGTCAAAAGTCATGTCTACAGAAATTGAAAACGTAATACTAGGGTGGCTAGTAAGGGATTGCGTCACTGGGGGGTGGTGGGAGCTTGTGATGGAAGAACGGTTCTGTGTGGTGAGAAGACAAAAGTCTGCACGTGACAGAATGGCATGGAATTAAACGCGCACACACGCACACGAGTGCATGTAAAACTGGTGTGGTCTGAATATGCTCTGTGGAGGTTCCAACCTGCACTGCCTGCACCTGCTCAGCACCATTAGGTACTGAGCTGTGTGAGATGTCACCAGCGCAGAAACTGGGTTAACAGTACGTGGGATCTCTTTGTCCATGTTGTTTGCAACTTCTCATAAATACATAATTATTTCAAAACAAGAGGCTGAAAGGGGGGCCTGGGTGGCTCAGTTGGTTGGGCGTCTGACTTGGGCTCAGGTCATGATCTCATGGTTTCTGTCCCAGGTCGGGTTCTGTTTCAGTCTGTGACTCCCTCTCTCTCTGACCCTCCCCTGCTCACGCTGTCTCTCTCTCTCTCCTAGAAATAAATAAAAATTAAAAAAAAAAAAAAAAAAAAGAAGTTGAAAAAAAAAAAGGAAAAAAAGGAATATTACTCTAGGGAGAGAGTGTATCATATTGTAGAATGGCAAGGCACACAGGACCCCAGTGTGGTGGTGTTGACATTCTTTTCAGGCCATGAAACCCTTTATTCAGATGACATCTCCTAATGAAGCCCCGCATGCAAAACAAGCATGCAAATGGCCAAGTGGCGCTCTGCAGCTAGGCCAGTGAGGGTGGCGCCCGGGCCCACCTGCTCAGCCCCCTACAACCACCTGCCTGAAACCACCACCTCGGGTCCCTTCCTCTCAATTTACAAATGGATCTCTGAGGCTCAGAGAAGTGAAGCAACTGGGCCAAAGTCACACAGCATGTTAGCGACCCTGCTGGACTGGCAGCCTCCTCTCTGAGCCCCTGTCCAGTATTTCCTGGCCCCCGAGGCCCAGAGGAAGCAGAGTGCCTGGCTGGCCACGCCCACGCCCCTGCGGTCCATACCTGGAGCAGTGCAGCGGTCATGTAGAAGATGATGAAGATGAGCGTGAGGGTGGTGTGCCCGCCCTGCATGCAGCTGATGGTGTAGAGGAACACCAGGTGCCCTGGAACCACGAGGAGGAAGAGGACGCGAGCCGAGCGCGAATTCACGTCTGGGACCAGGGGGGAGAGGGGGTGAGGAGGTGAGCAGGGGGAGCCCTGGCCCCAGAAGGCCTTTCAGTCAGGAGGTCCCACACGGCACCCCAGAACAGCAGGCGCTGACTCTCTCTATCCTCCACCCCGTGGTCCCCAGCCCCCAAGGCGTCCCTGGAAAGTACAGTCTTCCTGCCTGGGATCTGCTCTCCCGAGAGAAGGAGAAGCTGTTTCTCAAGGGAAGCTCACAGAGTGTCGGCCCCCTCCCCCCAGGGCTGGAAGGGACTATCAACCCCCGAGGGCTGGAAGGGACAGTCACCCCCTGCCCCCCCGCCAGGGCTGGAAGGGACAGTCACCCAACCCCACCCCAGGGCTGGAAGGGACTAGAGGCTAGGACTCTGCCATTACCAGGACTGAAGAAGGTGGTGCAAGGACTGGGGCAGCGGCGAGGGGCTTGCTCAGAGTTCTCCCCTGGCATCCCATTCATGTGCAGGAAGGTGGAGATGCGGCTGGCCTGCACTGCCACCAGATTGCCCCCGACACCTGTAGAGAGACAGATGCCCTTAGACGTGAGAGGGGTGAGGAGTGGGGAGGGCAGAACACATCCACCAGTCCCCAGGAGAAGAGTGAGACACTGAGGAGGAAGACCAAGATGCCCCCACTTCCAGGGAGATTTCCAGGCTCCTTCCATCCTCCCCTCTATGGAGAGGTGGCCGTCCCCTGTGCCCCTTGGGTGGCTGAGAGTGCAGGAAGGGGCGCAGGCCGGTCTGCAGACTCAGGGAACCCGTGTCCCTGCTGTCCCACACAGTTGAGGCGACAAGGCCTTGCCTTTCCACAGCTCTGAGCAGACCCAGGCCCCCCACACTCCTGGGCTGGTTCCAGGGACTGATTTCAGGAATCAGGTGTGAGCTCTGGACTCTGGAATCGGGTACCTGTCCCAGGAGCCGTGCGGGTTATTGTTGCCCTCCCACCGCTGACCTATTCCCCGCTCTTCTCAGCCTTGCTTGGAGCTCTGAGAGGCTGACTTCTGCACACTGCATCACCCAGGCTCCCTTGCTGGCTGCCTCTAATCGGGTTTGTTCAACAGGAGGCACCAGTACGTGAGTCAGAGATGGGGGAGAGTGAGGGATCAGGTATGTCTTTCCTTATCCCAATCTGCTTTTAGGCAGAGGCTTACCCCTGTTGGGGGCAGAGGTGTGTTCCCTCTGGGCTCCTATGACTTTATTTCCTCCCCTTGACACTTGAGGACTAGGGCTTCCTGTTGTTGCTAATCTGTGGGTCCTTCCCCGGCTCTCTGCTCTGTGAGCAGCCCCTTCGTTAAAGTCTTGAACTCTCTGAGCGGGATGCTCTTGCCTGTGGGATCCTGATGCAGGGCCCCCCACAGCCTCCCCGCCTGCCCCCCTCCGTTCCCCCAGCAGCTGGTGCCGACACCTCACCATTAATCACAGGAGTGAAGACAGCCATCCCTGCAAAGTTGGGGTCTGAGACAGTCTTGTCCAAGATGAGGCCTCCCACACTACACAGACAAAGACAAAGTGACACAAAGGTCACTGAAGGGCTGTGTTTCGGTTCCGGGGATGACGGGCACAGGCCCCTCTGGCCTCGGGGAGGAAGGGAAACGAGGTGCTCCGGGGGTCCCTTGTCTCCCAGGCCTGGCCTCCTTTGCCAGAACTAGTTGCTGCTTATAATATTCCGACCTGGTGGAGTGGCCCCGGAGCTAACTGGTGGCACCGGGGCAGACAGCCGCCTCCTGTACCCACCCCGCAGGGCGGCTGGAGCGGCCCAGGGCCACCTGCCCAAGAGGACGGCGGTGGTGCACCTGTTGGGTCCTCATTTCCCCCTGTAGTAACAGGGCCAGGCTCTTCCTCAGGAACCACCTCTCTCAAACTCAGTCACCGTGGTTCAGGTGGTACTGCTCCAACCATGGCCCGGCCCCAGGCCCGGCCAATCACAGCCTCGCTTTCCCGAGGCCACGGCGATCGGTTCAGGCGGAGCCGTGTGACTGGTTGAGAGCCGGTGAAATTCTGTAGCGGGACCTTGTGGGATCGTGGAGAGACTTCCTCTCATGGGAGTTAGTAAGAGTGAGGAAAGTATGAGCCGGGAGTTGCAGACGGTCACAGGGAGAAGCGGAACCGAGCGTTGGAGAATACCGGAGCCCTGACGTGACCACCGAAGTGTCTGAGCCCAGCTGTGCCGTTTTAGCTCCCTAAGCCAGTGCCTTCTGCTTCTCAAGGCCACCCATTTCTGATGGCTTCTGCCACATGCAACAGGACATGGAGCCGAAACACCTTTGAAGGCATTTCTAGGGTCTGCACCAGAACCCTCCCCCTTTTCCAGGGCTCACCAGGGACTGTGGCAGGGTGGGACGAGGGTGAGGGTGCGTACAAGGGCCCGAGCCTACCTGCTGATGGCCATGGCAATGATGACGGGCTCCCAGCCTGAGTACAACACTTCCCTTGTGGCTGGGCTCCGTCGGGCCAGCACCACCCAGACAGGCAGCAGGGCCACGAAGAAGGCACACACCAGGGGGTAGATGTATTGCCAGTCATCTGAGAGAGGCAGAGATCAGAGGGAGGTGAGCACTGCAGCTCCCTGTCAGGGCCCCCCCGCCCCACTCGGCCTGCTGATGTGCCAGCAGATCTCAGGGAACGTCACACTAGGTGCCTGTAAATACATGACCTCATTGATCCTCCCTGTAAGCCTGGGACACAGGGGGAGGCCAGACTTTTCCATTCTGTGGATGAGGGAAACCAAGCTGAGAGCTTCCCAGGCATTGGGCTGATCAGGGGCAGAGACCAGATTCTCGGCTCCTTTGCTTTGATCCCCAGAAATCACAGTCTCCCTTCCCCTTCTTCATTCTGCAAGCAGATTCCAGACTTCAGTTCCTTCCTTTCACCCCTTCCACCTTGACTGCTCCAAGGCAGGTAGGAATCCACAGGACCAGGCAAGAATAGATTTCTCAGATCCACTCCTGTGCCCCGCTGCCTGCGTGCATTTGAGAATACTTAGCCCCTGTCTCTACGCTCTGGAGTTATTACAAAACTGTGTTCCAATCAGATAGGTAAGAACTTAGAGGAAATCCTTACACATTGGCAAACCCACCACTGTCTCTCCCACTCCCCCCAACCCTGGTCACACCCTCAGTGGCCTAAGCCTCACCCTGCTCCAGGTAGAGTCCCCAGCTGATGCCTGAGAGCAGTGCCAAGGTGATGAGGTCACCCAGGCTGGCGGCAATGGGCGTGGCCACATTGTCTGGGTTGATTCCAATCTTTCGAGAGCCAATGATGACCCCAATCATGATCATACCTGGGGAGGAAGAGGGGGGCCGGGCAGGGCAAGAAGAGATATGGGGGTATCAACAAACAAAAGGAGAGATTATAGGTGCCAGGCTGATACCCTACCCTTCTCTTCCTTCCTTACCCAGTACCAGGGATGCGATGAAGGCCGTGGCCACGCTGCTGGCACAGAGTAGGAAGGCATGCGGGATACTGAAATGGCCATCAGGGATCCAGCCAAAAACGACGGCTGCGATGGACGCCAGGAAGCCCACGACCGTGGCCTGCACCTGCGGTGGGAGCGGGTAACTCAGAGTATGGGGAGGGGGTAGGGGAGCGGAGAGTTTCCTAGCACAGGTCACCGAACCGAGCACATCGCCAGACCTCTCCTTGGCTCTCAGCAGCCCCAGGAGGCAGGCTGGGCCGGACTGTGCAGTCCTCCTGGGCTGGAACGATGTCTTTGTTTATTTAGTTTCACACCAGACACAAGTACTAGGCAGTGCACCCCGCAGGCGCCCAGGACATGTTACTTGGCCAAAGAAGCATTCCTCTGGGGATTGGGGTGAGGTCCAGCAGAGCCTGAGACTTCAGTCTACAGA